ACCACGACGGTCCTCTTCATGACTACAAAACTACTCATTCACGAATCTACGAATCTCCTGGTAAGGGTTCTTCTCCCTTTCATTTTTCGAGTGGTAATGGGATTGTTGAGGATTTTTTTTTTAAAACTTTTTTTTTTCAACTCTTTTAAAATTTTCAAGTTAGTTGTTTCTAGATTTTTTATAACATTTGTTTTGTTTTTGGAGTAAAAGTGATTTTATGAAATTGGCGCATTTTATTTGTATGTCTGCGTTTATATTATTGATTTTTTGTTGTTGCTTATCATCGCAAATTAATTTAAGTGATTTTATGAAACCGGCGTATTTTATTTGTATGTCTACGTTTATATTATTGATTTTTTGTTGTTTCTTATCATCGCAAATTAATTTATTTTTTAATTTTCACGTTACTGAGTAAAGGTTTAGTGCCAACCTACTATTTGCATCAATTTAAGTATATATATGATATCTAATGTAACATTGGGACCACAAAATCTCTACAAGATATTTTTTTACCTTCGTTTCTATTTTATTTTCACTTCTCTTGCTAATTTTAGATTTTATTTTTTGTTTTTAATTAAATTTATTGTTCTTTGGCAAAATGATTTAGTTTTAGAAGGATCTTATCAAGTTCTAGCATGAGTGGAAGATCATCTACTGATTTTTTGTCAACAGGTAATTAATATATATATATATACATACATATTAATATGCTTTTTTTTTTATTTATTATATCATATAATAATTTAACTAATTAAAAATTCATATTAAGTTACTTATGCAAGTTATACACCATAAAGAATATAATAGTAAAAATTTTCATCATACTATTTATTTTACATGAATATATCTTCTTTTTTTTAACATTTTTATTCATTTGTATCACAGTGAAGGACAAAAAATATGGGTGTTGCATGTCTTGATACCGATGAAGTTTCATCTGGACCTATACCGATGAAGTTTCATCTGCACCTAAAGGTTAGAAATACTTAATCCTCTAATACAAAATATATGATGTTTTTGTGAGATGTAAATGAGTACTATATGTTTCTTTATACTTCAAGAATTTGTTGTTTGTATTGTTTTCTATATTTTTATACTAGGTTGTCATAATGCATTTAAGTATTCTATATTTCATGTTGTTAGAGATGTAATGGTGTCAATATTTTATATTTTGTACAAATAAAAATATAAATGATGTCTTTAGTGTATATTTGTCGTTATGTTTGAATCACCCATAAATATATCCATAAAAATTCCCCTTAATAAAAAAATGAGCATCCATCACTTTATGAAAAATATATTAACATTTTATTGTTTTATATTGTACTTAATGTGATTTAGTAGAGACATATTATTATCAGTACTCTATTATTATTGTACATAGAAAAAATAAATTAGGCATTTCATTCATTTATGTCATTTAATAAATAATTGGTTTTTGTCATTTTTAGGTTCAATTATCAAAGGGAATGTTTTTCTAGCGATACATCAGTTGAAAAAAATGCCCAATTGCATACATTGCGGTGCAATGAAATTTCAGTACGAGTGTCCAACATTTTGTTGTGATAATGGAAAAGTCAAACTTGCTCCTATTGAAGTGCCTGATGAATTATATGAATTGTTCACTTCATAGACGGAAGAGAAAAAACAATTTCGAATAAACATTCGTCTATTTAACAGTATGTTCTCTTTTACATCATTAGGGGTTAAATTAGATAAAGAATTTGCATCTGCAAGACAAGGAGTCTATACTTTTCGAGCTCAGGGAGTAGTGTTTCATGATCTTCCTAGCTTATTGCCTAAAGAACGGTTCGACTCGACTACAAAAGATGATAATGGTCGACAAGGATGTAAGTACATAATTTAATTTCATCAACAATTTTTTTTTATGAGATGTGTTCGAAATTTTATTGGGGTTTTCATGTTTTTGTCCTGATAGCTACGAAGCTTATTCTTTTGATTATTGCGTCTCTCTCCGCGCGCGAGCGATATCAAGATTTTCGGCCATGTTAATGTAAAAAATCTGACAAAAATTGGACCTTGCTAAAAGCCACGTAAGTTGGAATTGATAAGTAGCATTAGAAAGAAAAACCACGTAAGTTGGAATTGATAAGTAACATTAGAAAGAAAAAAATTGAAGTAACCCTCCTTTTCCAATTATATGTTGGATACTTATCAACAAGTTTTTGTTGTTCGTTTACAATACCAAAATAAATAAAATTATAACAGAAAAATGGACGAAGATTTATATAATATTAACGTTACTTGTGTCGTGCGATCCCCACCATCCTGTTGAATATAAGCTTACAGATTTGCAGATTTGACTATGAAAAAATCACTAAGCAGAGTCGATAAATTATACACAAGTTAATTTAACTTGCAGATTTAATATACATATCAAATTGGAGTAATAATGTTTAATGATACGATTTATTTTATTCATTAAACATTATTATGAACATCTTTGCATATAATTAACGATTTATTTTATTTATTTGTGCAGGGAGTCCAAATTGGAATAACAATGTTTAATGTTGCTATTAATGAATACACCAACAAATTTCAACTCAACAATACGTATTCAATCACTAATGGTGAAGTTGGAAAAGTCAATCCCACTTTTGTACATATGGCCATTCATACAGAGAAAGAAATATGTCTAGAAACTCCAACGAAACTTCCGTAAATCTTGCCGTTGAAGATATAGGATACAATCTCTCCTATAATTTCACCAAGTTCAACAACATCAATGTCAAAACTCATGCAAATGAAAAAATTGGTTTACGAAATATTAATAATGATAACAAAGTTCTAAATTGATTATATCTGTAGGTATCGATCCATTATGGTCTCTTCATGGGATGACATGGCTCAAAATGAAGGATCCAACGTACACGACATGGTTGAAGAGAGCCCATTTATTGCAATTACCAATTTGATAAAACCAAAGATCTACAACAGTAACATCAAAACCAAAAACATAAACAATACTTTTATTTTTACAATGCCTTAATTATGATTGTAGATAATTGTGACTATATTTTTCTCTCTTAAATTATGTTAATGACACATAATTATCATACATATTGCTCAATTAATTACAACTATATGATTAGATTCTTATTAACATAAAAACAACGTTCTTTTTAATTACAATCATACATATTAGTGGGAGTATTTATTGCCCAGGATTATTTATTTACAATCATTCATATTGCTGAGATTATTTATTTACAATTAAACAATGTTAATTACAATCATACTTTAAATTTTATAATCCCTTAATTATGTTTGTAGATAATTGTGCATATAACTTTGTGATTATAATGTTCACATTTAATTGATTAGGCCAATTGCAATTGCAAACCAGTGCAACGTATGTACTTCAGATAAACCCGGCGTGTGAGGAAAACAACCATATGCGTATATGGTATCCTCTAAATTCTTGATACGATATAAAAAATATCACACTTTACATAACAATAATATTACCTCCTACTTTTTGTATTTTTTAGGTTGCAAACACATGACAACCCTGTGAAAATAGTTGAAATGTCAATGACAAGAAGAATGAAGGATTTGAATAGTATCCCCTTGCAACAAATTTACTACAATCGTGCAAACATCGTTGAGGTAAATTTAACAAATATCTTAAATAACTAACATATTTTTTGGTGAACTATTTATATAAATAACCATTGTTGCCAATCACAGGAAAAATACTATTGTTTTAGAGGATTTGTGGACAAGGTCATGAACAAATCATCATTATAGTATGAATCATGCAAAAAATGCTCCTCCTCTATTAAAAAGAATGACGGCAACAAGATGTGTAAAAAGTGCAACGATGTGGTGGAAACAACTCTAAGGTAATAAGAAAAACAAAAAAAATTGTATCTCATATTTTAAAAACATAACACAATTAGAACAAATTTACTATTTGCAGATATAGGTTGGTACTAAATGTTGTTGAAGAGAACCTCAGTGGCAGTATCACACTTTTTGAAGATGTTGGAATGGTTTACGTGGGGTGTTCTGTTGCAGACTACATTAGATCCTTGAGCAGGTAATTAAAATTCTCAATTTATAACTCAAAGTCATTTTCAAATACTAAAACTTATAACTCAAATTCATCTTTCAATGCACAATTTTTAACTCAAATTACGTTTCAAATTTATTAGTGAGATGAATCATCTGATTACTATCGAGGATTGAGCTTGCAATCAACCACCCAAAAATTTCCCATCCCAATAAATAATAAGGCCTACAACTCAAGAGGAGAGATGAACGTGGTTGCCGAAGCAATTGCAAGAGTACAACCTATCAACGATGATGAAATGAACGAAAGTTCATCAAAGTCTCCCAAAAACGCACCTGATCTGCAAAAGAATCAAGGGGCGTCACAAAAAAAGCAAGTTCAAAGAAGAAAACGCGTCGCCAACAAGATAAAGGAAGACGACAATGATAGTGCCATTGAAATTGAGGATAATGAAACAATCAGCAGTCTTAAAAAGAAATGTGTGCGCAACAATTCAAAAGGAAAGGGAAAGAAATCACCACTCCGATCATCAACATAAAGAAATAGAAGAGTTGAAAATCATAGTTACTTTAGTTAATGTTTAGTTTAAGAACAATATTTGGTTACTTTCTTGCTATAGTTCATTTACTTTACATTTTAAAAAATTTCATCTACTATATATTTTACCTTAGACCATTAATAGTTTATCCCGACTACTTCATGCTTTCTATTAAGAGTAGTTTAAGAAAACATAGTACCATGAAATAATCATCTCCTCGTGAACTAAATTAGCAAAAATATATTTTCACCACGTGCATCGCACGTGTCCCTTACTAGTTTACCAAAATAGAAAAAAAAAATACTCAAAGAAAGTAATTAATATTTTATTCATGCCAAAATAATAGCTATAGCTATTTTATTTGGATGGCATAAACATCTCGAGTTGGAAGCTGATATTCGATATACCTAAGCATTTTTCTCCTTAATCAATGTTGGCTACAAAAGGACTCCGGACTGTGTATTTTGTATTAGACCATGCAATTGAACCAAACAATGGTCCAGAGTAAGCACCAACATGTTTAAATATGACTTGGAAGGTTAGTTTTTTAACATTCTTTGTGAAGTGAAGCGTGCTTGGCACTACTTGAACCTGCACACCAGGAGGAGTATCCACGGTGGCCTTGTAGGTCGAATGTGCTTCCCCGACATTAGTCACGGTTCGTTTTACCTTCCTCATTCCATTCGTATATAATCCAGAAACAACAATTGAGGGATAGTTCATATCGGATATCAAATCCGGGTTCGAGTTATCAGGGCAACAGAAGTTGTCAAGAACAATGGATGAGATAGCTTTGATGGCGGTTTCATTGTAGCCCATGTTGCAAAGGAAATGGATGTAATCAATAGTTTTTGTTTCGTAGACGAGCCCTGGACTCAGTGAGTCAGAAAGGTTGATTTCCCCAGCTCCCATGTCATAAGGTGTGGCTCTTGACCCATCATCTGTTGTAATCGGAGCACCTAGATTATTTGTTTGGATTGCTGCAAATGAGATGATATGACGAGTTTTTGTTAAAGGTTGTTAATTACATTAGAAACTTTGTCTTGTCCATATCATATGTACATACACCGTGTATATATAAGATGTTATTCAAATAAGAACCAAGCCATAAGAACGATATTCTAATTCTGTGTAATGCTATTTTTAATTATGTGTTGGTGCTATTTTTAGTTAAGATTTTTTTTTTTTTCTTTTCCCCAATACAACACTATATATAATTATATGCATATCTGACCTGTTGTCATTATAGCTGATTTGATAGCAGAAGGGGTCCACTTGGGGTTGTAAGACTTTATCGTTGCAGCTAGACCAGAGACGTGCGGGCAAGAAATGGATGTACCCATATCTATGCAAAATAAGGGTGTTCCCTTGCCCGGGACAAGCACTGATGTGTCGTTTATAGGAGGAAATGCGGCGAGGATGTCTACTCCCGGAGCTGTTACGTCAGGCTACATAAACACAATCTTATTTTAGTCATTCCCTCTGCTGGTGTCGAATATCACATGCTTATTCTGGAAAAGCCACAGTTTTACCTTGACAAGGTTTTTGATGCCGTCTATGGGGCCTCTTCCCGACGTGCGTGCAACAAGAGGAGCCGGCTTGTAATTTAGTATGACTTCAGTAGGCAAGATTGTCGCCACTGGATTGCTTTCAGTGTGACAAGATTCAATTAGCAAACTCTTTTTGCAATGTGAAAAAAATTAAATAGGAAAATATATAGGTTGGGAAGTTGACAATACAACAAATCACATCTCTCCCTTTGAATAATTGATCCAAGCATATTCTTGTGATTTTAATTGAATCTATCTACTAGACAACTAAAGATAGTTAGCTAGGTTGTTTTATGACCAGTTTAAGAACATGTACTAATGCGTATGGCAACGGTAAACAAATTGTCTTAGTTGATTGAGCTTGTAGGACATATGTTTTACCGTGTTGAGTGGATATAAGACCGAATTTGAGCTCCATCCTCTTCAGTGACAGCAGCAAATGGATCAGTTCCATAGACGTAATGAGTCATTTGCCTTAAAATGTTGTTGATCATAATTATTCCCAGCGCGCCTTGTTTCATTAACGTGTTTATCTTATCTACCAAACTATGTCTGTCCTTATATCCACACAGAACGATTTTCCCCTTAACCTTGGCGCCGTCTAGTGAACCCGGTACACAATTGCTGGGAACAGAAAAAAAATAATATAAAATAAAATAAAACCATAACTATGCTCAGCACTACACAACCAACAAATTACCTTGCATTTGTACCGAAAAAAAAAAAAAACAAATTACCTTGCATCAGATGAGTTGGGTTTATTAGATGCTGAGCGTCCTTCTATCAAACGATAAATGGGATATTTGTTCAATCCCGAAAAGTTGATGCCCCCACCCTAAAACGGTATCATTGATCGATCATTTTTGTTTCAATCAGAAAGAGAGAAAATGCATGCGGTTTCATCAAGTCAGTCAGTCAGTCATTCATTACCTTGATCGCCTTATTATTTCCACCCAACACAACCGAGACCTCAAACACACGGTCGATAGTGGTGGAACCAACACTTAAAACCCAAGGGACAAAATTTCGAAGTGTCCCACTAGAAGGGCCATTATTTCCGACAGAGCATACCACTAGGATCCCCTTCTCCACAGCATGAAATGCGCCGATGGCAATCGGATCTTCGAGCAGATTATCGTACGTTCCACCCAATGATAACGACATCACGTCGACCCCATCACTGATTGCATCATCCATTGATTTGAGGATAGCCGATGGCATACATATTATGTTTGTGTCGCATATGCAATACATTGAAATCCTGCTACTAGGCGAGCCCCCTGTTGCAGTCCCTTCAGCTAGGCCATAGTAGGAAGCCCCTGCAAAAGGCACCCCGGCTGCAATTGAAGAAACGTGCGTACCGTGGCCTGTCTTGTCCCTAGCTGTTAGAATAGAACCTGATTGCTCATCATCATCATCATCATCATCATCATAATATCTTGCTCCAATCACTTTACTATATTTGCCCAAAAAAAAAAAAATGGTTATTAAGAAAGAATTCTTTAAAACCATAACCAAGAAAGAATTGATCAGTTCTAGTTGATTATTTATTTTGTTTACTTGTTGCATGTGAACAAAGGGGAGTTTTCATCCTCTCCAGGCATGCATGTCCCCTTCCAGCGTGAAGGGATTTTACCCATATACGTGTCACTGAAACTAGGGTGCTCCGGCCAAATTCCTGAACCGATGTTTCGAAATCATTATGTAGGCCAAGAAGAAGGTCGAGAGAAAAAAAAAAAAAAGAAATAATGGTTAATTATTATCACCTGTATCAAAGATACCAATGATTGTGTCATGAGACGTTGCTGAGCAGTTTGATATAGTAGGATAGCTCGAGGGAGGAGTTGAATTAGTGATTCGGAAAGCATTATTTAGGCTCCTCAAGAAATTCCAAGAACGAGTAGTGTGCAATTTTAACGGCCGGTCTGGAAAAACCGACACGACCCCATCAAGAACCGATATAGATTTTGCCTCTTCATCTGACAAACGCGCCGAAAATCCCAAGAAACTTTTGTTGTATGTATGAACAACTGAATTTTTCTTCCTACGACAAACACACCAAATAGTTTAAGATTTTGCTATGCCCCAACAACTTCTTTAATATGATATGTGATCAAGTGCCAAATACAAGTAAGCCCAACAGTACAGTTCAGCAAACATTGCATATAATCAAATAAACATTTTTCTTATTATATAATTAGAAAATTTAAACCTTTTACTAAGCTCGCTCAGAAGACGGGCATGATCACTCCTTGGAGCACCATTTTGTGATCTCGTTTTTCCCATGTACACGTTATAAATCGTGCCACGTCGTGTTGGTTTAGCTGCTAAGCTGTTAGCTTCTCCAAGAAATGAGATGATGAGAAGAAGATTGAAACAGAGAAAAAGATGGATGCCTCTCATGATAGATAGTTAATTCACTTCAAATCAAATGCCTAAACTAATGACATGTACACATGATATTTGGTTTGTGCACTCTATATAGAGTTCATAAAATCACAGTAAAGATTCTGTTAGATATTTAAAATTGTCTAGCCTATAGGTTTTACTTTATTTTATTTTATTTTTTTCATTCATTTGAGACTCTACTCTATTGGACTCCTTTTTTCGAGTACACTACTTTTAGAAAGATTTGTATATAACTCTAGACTTTGTTATTTTAATCTAGCTTTTCGCGAGCACAACTCGATTCGACTCATTAACTTCAATGAGTCAACTTCGAATAGCTAAACGAACTCATTTATATACTTCAAGTCGGGCCGAGCTCATTCACGAACATCTCATTTTTCTTTTTCTTTTTCTTTTTTTTTTCCTTTAACAGAATTTCCGAACAAACAAATCGTACCAACCATGTTCGTGGATGAATAACAAATCGTACTCGCGAAGAACTTGTTTACATTTTAGATTTATTAATCGAGCCGAACAGTTTTTTGATGAGCTTAATGTGATTTTGGATAGTAATTATAGTGATTGATTTTCATTCGCATCAGTGATTGATTTTTCGATCAACTGGAGTTCTTTATACATTGTGTACTTAAAGCAAGTATCCTCGTATATGTCGGAGGTATTGTCTAAATCCAAGGCTACTGCACCATCACCGGGGCCGAACTTTGAGGTCTTTTTCAGGACATATAAGGGGTTCCGTAGAATTATTGCGGAGGTTGATAGTCAGTGTGTGTTACAAATGGTTCATGGCTCCGATGGTAGTTTTGGGGCGCATTTGCCAACTGATTCACAAGGAGTGACTTATTAGCATTCGACACGTGTAGAGAGAGACAAACTTTGGGGCCAACCATTTGGCGAGCTTAACTGTTCTCTTGTACGATTGACTTTCAGGTGTTGGTTACTCCTCCTCCTAATTTGGGTGAGTGGCTCGCGCATGATTTAATCGGTGTTTCTTATCCTTGTCGAGTCCTAGTCTAGTATTTAGGCCTACAATCTTCTTTGTACTACAAAATAAATAAATAAATAAATTGAAGAGTAATTAAATCAGTAATTATTAGTTAGAAG